TGGGGGTGGGTGGGGAGTCCGTTAGGGTGTCTGCCCCGCCCAGATGCCCGCCTACCTGCGGGAGAGTTCAAGCCTCAGGGTTCCCTGGCATTCACCCGCAGGGCCGAGCTCCAGCGCGCGCCGGGTCCCTCCTGCGGCTCTGTTGCAGGAAGGGCCGGGAATGCGTGCGTGCAGGTCAGGGCTCTCCGCGGTGGCCTCCACGCACAGGTTTGGTTAAGTCATCCTGTCACCATCTCGTTCCTGTGCTTCGGCCAGTCGGGTGCCCAACTGGGTTTCCCTCTTTAGGATTTCCTTGTGCTTTCTGTCGTGCGTTTATATGAAATAAAGTCAGTTGGGATTGGGAGTTAGCATTGCCAGTTAACCTTACTTGGTTGTGTATTTTCAACTGGAAATAAGAGCCTTCACTGCTTCAGGCTCTTTCTGTGCCTTTTACAACCTAACTTGCAGATTTAATAACTCAGGTTGCAATTACTGAGATGGAGAGGAACACATTATTGCATGCTCTTACCTAATTCATATTTATGTGTTAGTCCTCTGTTATTGATCTAATCTTTGAGGTTTATAAATCCATCCTCTTGGCTACATTGGGGGGCTTTTACAGAGTGAAAGTAAAGGCGTGAGTGCTGAAGGCTTGGGAAGGAACCAGAACACACACCGTTGGCCATGAAGTTCTGCTGTAGCTTTCTCTTGTAAATATTTAACATCCCGATGACAATACCTGATATTTACGCTGTGGTTTTACAGTCTCGGAATTCGGTCTGTTCAACCTCCCATGGCTGGACAGCTCCTTTTGAACTGTAATCCACTACTCTCTCTTTTGTGTACACTGGCTGTAGTTTAGGCTCCTTGAGCATCGTAAGTTATAAATCCTGTAAATAGAAGGCACCATGCTTCAGGGGTGGGGGACGGATTGACCACACAATTCTGTACAGAATTGGCTTCATGATCTTTGTGTTGGTAAGACTACCTACCTACAAGAGACTTCTAAGAAGTCTGCATAGTTGGTCTTTTTTTTTTTCTCCTGTTTTATTAGGGAATCCAAAAAGTTTTATTCACGTTTTTTGCTGATACTGCCTACGTTGAAGAAGAGTAAATTTGTGATGATCCTGAACAACAAAGATTCCTCTAGAGCAATTTTTTACAAAGTCGTATTCCTGTTGGAGTGAACTATTGTGAACAAGTACTGTTGAACGTGAATGGGAGGCTCTCTTCTGAATGTTGTATGGAGTGGAGATTAGATATGGCTCCTTCCCCCTGAGAACGCAAGTGCTGGTATTTGGTGTTCTCATCTGAGCATGTTTGCGCTGTTTATTTCTGAAGTGCTCTTCCCCCAGTTTCCTTCTCATTATTCAAGTTTTTGCTCGAATGCAACCTCCTCAGAGAGACTTTCCCTGATGACTGTAGATGTGCTAACTCTCTTTTCATGCCCGTGATTCCCCGTTCCATCTGTTGTTTTATTTTCTCCATCATAGGCTAATTATGTGATGTGAAAATTTCTTATTTACTTATGGGTTTTTATTTATTTATTTTTGTCTCCACCTTCTAGAATGTAAGCTCCACAAAGGTAGTGACTTTGTCTCATTAAGCACCTGGCATATAGTGGGCAGTCAATAAATACTTTTTTCTTTCTTTTTTGGAGAGGTTTTTGCTATAGGGCGTGTATGCTCTCCAGAAAGGCAGAGAGACAGAGAGACAGAAAGCGAGAATCACCCCCCACCCCCAGGGGATGGCCATGCTGCAATCTCTTCTCCATTCTCCTCTTGGATCTTGGGCACGCATACATATGTGCCCTGCATGAGTTTAAGGCACCGGGTCTGGGACTCGAACCGCAGTCAACTACATGGGATTTCAGTAACATAGCCATTACACTAACTGCTGGTCCCAATAAATACTTTTAAATGAATAAATTTAACATGATGATGCTACCGATATTGCAAATTCTCTTACTGTATTACATGTTACTGAAGTAATATCATATAGGCAAAAACCTACTTGAATGATACATTTCAGTAATTCAAATTTGCCAACTAGTGTTACAATGACTTCTTTTTTTATGTTCATTTTTTATTTTTGGTAGAGGTTTTTGTCTTTGGGCACGTGCGCTCAATGGAGACACAGAGAGAGAGACAGAGACAGTGAAAGGTCAAAGTGAGAAATCACCCCCCCCCCAAGGGGGATGGCCCCTCCTCCTTTCTCCTCCCAGGATTTGGGGCACACTTGTACATCACCCAGCATGAGTTTCAAGCCACTTGGTCCAGGACTTGAACCATGGTCAGTCATGTGGGAGTCCAGTGATGTAGCTGCTATGTCATCCTCTGGTCCCTTTAAGTTTGTTTCTTTCATGAGAGAGAAAGAGAAAAAGACAAGCATCCTGAACAGGATCTCATGCTGTAATCCTTACCTCCCAGTCTTCTAATCCAGATAAGATCATGAGTTCTGTCTTTCTGATTATCGCCATCCTAGTGACTATGAAGTGGTATCTCACTGTGATTTTAGTTGAATTTATCTAAGAATTTATGACACTGAGTGTTTTCTTCACGTGTTTATTCACTATTTGTGTATCTTCTTTGGAGAAACGTCTATCCAGGTCTTTTGCCTATTTTCTTTTCTTTTTTAAGAGTTTTTTTTGGGGGGTTGGGTGGACACTTGCTGTGGGGAGAGAGAGAGGGAGACAGACAGTGAGAGGGAAAATGATAAATCACCCCCTAATAGGAATGGCCATGCAGAAATTCTTTCTCCTCCTTTCTCCTCCTGGAATCTTGATCATGCACATTCACGTGCCCGGTTTGATTTTCCAAGCCACCTGGTCCAGGGCTTGAACCACAGTCAGCCATGTGGGAGTCCAGTGATGTAACTGCTGTGCCATCTGCTGGCCTCTCTTTTGCCTATTTTCAAAATTGGGTTATTTATTGTTTAGTTGAAAAACTTTTTAAAATATTTTTTAGATACAAGTCTATTAGGAGATACATAATTTGCAAATATTTTCTCCCTATCAATAGGTTATCTTTATTTTCTTGATGGTGTCTTTAGAAGAGTTTTGAATTTTGAGAAAGTATAATTTGTCTATTTTTTTTCTTTTGTTGCTTCTGCTTTTGGTGTCATATCTAAGACAAATCATTGCTAAGTCCATAATCATCAAGATTTATACCTTTGTTTTCAAGTTTTATAGTTTTTGCTCCTGCATTTAAGACTTCTGAATCAGTTTTTGTACATGGTGTAAGACACATGCCCAGCTTTCATTTCCTTCTTACTATTTATCTTTATCTTGTTTCTTGTCACTTTTCACACTTAGAAAGGAGGCTCTGTGAGAGCAGAGATAACTGTTTTGTTTGTGAGTGTATGTCTAGCATTAGACTAGGCATGTTCATACATAGTGGGCAATAAATCTTTATCAAATAAATGAAAGAATGAGTGAATTGAGTGAATTAATGAATGCTGGCTCTTGGGGCTCATGGGTTCTTCATGGTAAACTATTATCCTTTTCTTATTATTACTAATACATGCTTTAACATTTTTTTCTTTAGTCATGAGCCAGCATATGGACACACACATGAGCGAGGAAGAGAATGAGAGATCCTCCAAAGGGTCTTGTCACAGCCCAAACCCCTTCCTCTAGTCTTCCAGCTCACCATCTCTTAGGCACTTGCATGTGTGGCCAGCATGTTTTAGGCTAACTAGGCTGGGGATTTGAACTACACTCACCATGTAGCATTCAGCTTCTCTTGAGCAGTGCATTACCACTGCATCATGGTGCCAGCCTTATTACTTTATGGTTATATAAATTCTTCATGGTTACATAAATCACCATATAGTCATATGATATACTATTATGAATCCATTTCAATTATATTCATAAAGAGGTTTTTTTTTTTTTTTTTTGGAGAGATTTTCACTGTAGGGCGCGTGCGCTCGCCAGACAGACAGAGAGAGACATAGAGACAGAAAGCGAGAAATCACCCCCCAGGGGGGATGGTCACGCCGCAAACCCTTCTCCTCCATTCTCCTCTCGGGATCTTGGGCACGCACGCACACACGCCCGGCGCGAGTTTTAAGCCACCGGGTCCGGGACACGGACCGCGGTCGACCACGTGGGAGTCCAGCGACATAGCCATTACGCTAACTGCTGGTTCCCTTCATAAAGAGTTTTTAATAATTTGGAAACATTAAGGTAAAAAGTAAAGCTGTCTTTCCACTAGAAAGAAATATACCAACATTTTAACATTTTTACCAACATTTTACCAAACTGTGGTTATTTTTGGATCATGAAATTATAGGTGGTTGTTATTTTCTACATTCTTCTGTACTTTCTTGATATTCCATAGGTATGCATTTCTTTTAAATTCAGAAAAAACAAGAGTACTGTCTTTTTCCTCCCCATCTACTCCATCAAAGAAATGGAAGAATCCTTTTTAGAATCTAGTCCAAGCTGTATGACATGCTCACATCTCTATAAGTTGTAGAGTCCACTTCCATTTTCTGCCAACTGGAGCAATAGTTACCTATCTTTTTAATTTTTTTTTTTTGGAGAGGTTTTTTGCTATAGGGGGCGTGCGCTCACCAGACAGACAGAGGGAGACA